TGGACACTGTTAGTAAAATTGCCCGTTCTTTTTCTCACGAGGCCCAGTGCTCCGATTACTATTGGTACAGTCTCGGTCTTCATTCCCCTTATCCTGTTACGTTCGATCTTCACGTCCTTGTATTTTGACAATTTCTCGATCGATTTCATGGATGTTTTTCTCTCAGATGGTACAGCAATATCAATCAGCATAAACTTCCTGAATTTCTTATTTTGTATGATAATATCAGGTGTGTTGGCTTTTATTTCGCTGTAAGTTTGAATTGTCATGTCCCAGAGGATAGTTACATCGTTACTTTGTGTAACAGTGTCTGGTTGGTGCACATACCAACTCTAGATTTTGTGCTTCTTGCATATCTTCCCGTGCACATATTTCAGTACATTATTATTATTATTATTAATATCAAAAGTGGTTAGCCAGAAGCTGCTGCGTGTTAGTTTAGGTTAGGTTAGGTTATTGGGTTTAACGATATTTTGTTACCGGTGTTTAATTTTGAATCTAGCTATCACCGTAAAAAAATCACAATGAATCAGAAAAATGCTAGAGATACATCCAATTTGAAAGAGTTGACATAGGCCAGGTAGATGCTAGAATAATAATAAAAAAAGAAATGTATAGGTAGTGATTGCATTGGAATCAAAGAGGTGGGCACAGATCCGATTTGTATTCGAGCTGACGCATAATACTTTGGTTTTCACGAGATTAAAACATAGATAGCACTAAAATCATAACAACAGATCCGGTTTTTCTAAATGTGAAAAAGAAAGCTAAGTTTGGTTTACATTACTGTGGAAAAGGCCGATACGTGACGTTTAAGGACTAAAAGTCTAATTGCAAGAAGTTTGTATGCAGTGTTGTCAGCAAAAAGAAGACAACATGCAAATGATAGATTAGAGATACGGAAATCTAACAATTGTGACAAGCTAGAACTGTAGAAACAGAGAATGTGCAACATGGATATCTGAAGGTATATTGGTGTAGAGTTTGGTAATAGCAACAGGCAGTACTCGTCTGTAAGAGAAGTTTAGTCTGACTGACTAACTTAATCGGCTGAGCAAATAGGTAGGTGTTTTATATAACAGCCTGGGAGATTCCGCTCATTTTACCCGGGCAAGTCTGTTCTGTAAATTCTGACTGACGGATGATTCTAGTGTGGATATTGTGCTCAATAAATATCCTGCATACTGTGACTTATTCAAGAAAGGGACATGTATTGATTTATTTTTGTCAGCCATCTGGACACTAGTTGGAAACCTCCTTGGGAAGGTGAGTCTCAGCACTCTTAATTGTTCAATTGGGATAGCGAAGAATGCCTTCCAAAATCTGAGGAAAGTATTAAGTAACAGAAACAATATCGTTAGAAACAAAGAAAAGAGTACTGAACTCCTATGTTGCGTCCTTCCTCTTATAAGGTAGTGAATGCTGGACAATATCCTCACAGATGAAGAAAAGACTTGAAGTAAGAGAAACAAAGAAAAGACGACTGAACTGTTATGTAATATCAGTCTTATATGGCAGTGAATGCTGGACAATCTCCTCACAGATGAAAAAGAGACTTGAAGCAAGAGAAACAAAGAAAAGAGGACTGCACTGTTATGTAATATCAGTCCTTTTATATGGCAGTGAATGCTGGACAATCTCCTCACAGATGAAGAAGAAACTTGAAGCACGAGAAACAAAGAAAAGAGTACTGAACTGTAACGTAATATCAGTCCTCCTATATGGCAATGAATGCTGGACAATCTCTTCACAGATAAAGAAGAGACTTGAAGCAAGAGAAACAAAGAAAAGACGACTGAACTGTTATGTAATATCAGTCCTCCTATATGGCAGTGAATTCTGGACAATCTCTTCACAGATTAAGAAGAGACTTGAAGCAAAAGAAATGATTTTTTTTCTAAAGAAAGATGCTGCGAATATTATGTACCCAACATGTGAGCAACAACGATGTTCTGGAGACAATTTACAAAAAATGGCAACTATATTTAACATCAGGAAGAGACAGTTGAGGATTCTGGGATACATCCTGAGGAAGGAGGGCTTGGAAAATGTGTTACTCAAATGATAGATTGAAGCTAAGTGAGACAGAGGAAAACAACGCACAACCTACTGATGAGCTTGCGTGAATGTATGGCGGAACAGAGGTAGATGGAAACAAAAGACAAATGTCATTAATAGCTAAAAGGGACAGGTAATATGTCATCTCCATTGTCACATACAATAAGAGAAAATAGACGCAACCTACAGTAACAATAAAATGGTAACGATGTTTTTCGTTTACACTAGACCCAAGAAAGTATAAAGAGATCTCGTGTTTTTGATTTTTTTTGTTTACAGTATGAAAAAGGCAACCATATTTCATTAAAATCAAAATGGCCAACATAGGTCGTGATAATACACGAATCAGCAAATCGGCCAATATCAACCTGGAGGTTTCATGACTTTCGTTCTTCTGTGGAACTGTCGTAGTTGGTTGCGTAGTACATAGAGAGGAAAGAAATTAATAATATTTCACAATACTGTTACGAAAAAAGTTTCGATGTTATAAAGACATTCAATTGTTTCTTCAAATAAATCTGAGATGGCTGATTTGGTGATAATGTCGCTTTAAAAGGCATGAAATGTTCAGAAAAGCTAAGATCATCTCAAGATAGGATTTCAACATTTGCAGAATCTCTTTAATCATATAAGAAAAAGAAATGGTTACCGAGAGGAAAGATAAAAGTATTTTAATATTGGTGCTAAAATAAAACAAAAAACTGTGTACACTTAAAACCCGTTAAAAAATCGATAGTATATTTAATACTTGTTACTGAATAAAAAATAAGAGTTTTAAATATATGTTATAAGAGTTAAAAAATCCTTTTATAAAGATCATAAAAGAAAAACTGAACCTACTATTAATATTACTGTAAAATAAAGAACTAATTTTAATACCGTTCGTAAAAAAAACGAAACTTATGCAATACGGTTTTATAAAGAACAAAAAAAAAATTAAAATGCCGATTATAAAAAGAATAAAGGAAACTAATTATAATAATTGTTATAACAAAATGCTCTGCTTTTAATACTGGTCATAAAAAGAAAAGAAAAAAACGAAACTACATTTGATACTCTTTAATAAAAAATACAATGCATCTTTAATACTGTTTATGAAAAGAAAGTTGAAACGATTTTTTTATAGAGATTATAACATTTAAAATATAATTTTGATATAATTTATACAAGCAAATAAACGAATCTACTTTTAATATTTTTTTAAAGAGAGAACAATCTTCTTTTAATACCTTCTTAAAAAAAATGAAACTACTTGTATGATTGGTTTTATAAATACAAAACAAAAATACTGGTTTAAATGAAATAAAAGCATAACATTTAATGCAGAAAAATAAAAGGAGTTTATTTTGGTGCTGTTTATAATTATAAAAAACAAATAAAAATGTTTATAAAGCGGGACAGATGAAAATGACGAGAATATTTTTTTTATAAAATAGAAGCATAAAATAAAAGTTAACATTTTATATATGAATGAAAAAATATTTAAAACGAAAACAACTGTATTTATTTTTTTAAAAAAATTATGAAGCAAAAGTTATGAAAAAAGAAAAAAAATAGTGTGTTTTAAATTGAATCACGTTTTGTCTAGCAAATCTAGCATTTTTTTTTCACATGACGCCGGTCCGTCGGCGAAACTCTCTCTCTCTCTCTCACACACACACACACACACACACACACACATACACACACACACACACAAATGTGCGTATGTGTGTGTTGTTTTGTGCTTATAGAGAACGAGTGGTCAATATCGGAGTGCGTAAACATACATAAACAAGATGAATTTAATAACTTCACTCTACGGGTAATGTCATGGCGTCACTGATAATCAGGTCGAAATCTGATGAACACTGAAGACAAGTTAATGATTTCTAACCCACACATTATATATATATATATGTCTGCTTTTGTGTGTGAAACGATATGTGTATTTTTATATATTAAGAACAGTATTGGGGAAATTGTATGTCAAAGTGGAATAAGTTTACTTGTGACGCGTTTCGACCTTCAAGACTTCATCGGTCTATATTTTGTAACGCGGTTAGGACTGCACATGCGCACAAAAGAGCGATGCTTATAATTTTAGACTTTTTTTATCCGAATTCATTTAAAGTTTTTTTTTTCTTTTTGTCATTTTTGGAAGCAGATATTCCACACTGTGATATTACAATATCTATCAGAAATGGTAAAATTTATGTGGAAGGGCGCAAATCTACTGTAGATGACCTTTTGATTAAGGCTCTCACTAGACATTTACATCGTCCTTTCTCTCTTTGCTCAGTGTTACATTGACTGGTAATAAGCCGGCAGATTTTTATCATGTTCGCTGCTAGGAAAGAGAGCTTTATCTTTGTGTTTGGTGCATTTTTTAGGTGATTTTGGCATCTTTCATTTGGGACGTTGATGTAGAGGCATTTTATATCTACACTTTACAGAAAAATGCATCAAATATATTGGTTGCCCACCGAAACTTGACTGACCATAATTTTGACATAAAAAATGCTACTCTGATCAAAGGAGAAAAATAAATCCCTACAATGTAAATGTCTGACAAAAGGAATTTTGTTGGTCTCTATCAACTGTGTCCTATACATAATAATCAAGGCCGTTGCACTCTGGTCGCAGAAATTGTATGACAGCCATTACTAGGTTCTCCTACTTGTGTGGCATGGTGCGGAATCCTATTGCCAGACATAGGGTCTTCCAGCAGCTATCCTCTTGACCCATGCAGGCAATATCTGATCAAGGCACTAGCTATGTGGGAAGATGAATGTAGGCATAAAGACGACATCATGAATAAATACTGCAAACACCATCGTAATCACCCATTAGACGCATCCAATTCTTTGTGTCACCTCTGCTCTGTCCTTAGATTGATAGTCAAACACTCAAAAATGTTTGTATTTAAATATTCCGGCGTGAATACCAAGCAGCACAGAAACAAACAGAAAAAGGAAAAAATGTGTGCGTATGTGTTTGTGTATGTATTAATAAATTCACTCCAAGCAAGTCAATAATGACAGGTAATGGGCTACTGGAAATAAAAATAATGAGAAAACTTTAGAAGATAAAGCAAACCCAGTTGTAGACAGGAAACAAGAGATTAAATTATCATAAGATCCTGGAGGAGCGTGAATCTATCTACAGATGGGCAATTCAATGTGTTATAATTGTAAACAAACTTTTCTTGATGTATCAATTATGACTGAGTAGTGAATCCAATCCTCTTTGGGTGCTTCATGCTTTTAGCCTTGTACCATATCTAATCTACGCTTAGTAAATCATCATCTACTGATGTTAGGCGAACCTATCTTCTGCATGTGTGGTTTTGTGTTTGTTTACGCGTGTATGTTTGTCATGTGCTTTTACAAGTGTGGGCCTAAATTAAAATATACGCATCTATGTATGTATAATATATGCATAAATGTTTGTGCTTATAAATACACGTAGAAATTATATCTGACTTTTCGGAAGTATTTTCTGTTTAGCAAAGCTTATTTAAGGCTTACACGCCTAGTTAGACAAATCGTCTCGTCGCTACTAAAAATAAATCCAGTGGAAAAAAATTCGTTCATTCTTAGAAAGAGGAAGGGACAAGTCGAAACAAATATAAAATAGATGCAGTAAACCATGAAGGCTGGCGTAAATTTATGTCTGCAAAACTTCCGGGAAAGCGTATATATATATATATATATATATATATATATATATATATATATATATATAAGTCGTGTTAAAAAATTCTTGCCCAGAAAATCTTACTAACATCATGGAAAATAACCAGACATCAGAATATTTGGCGGGATGAATGTTTTTTTTAAATATAAATTTTACCCCTATACACACACACGCACACACACACACACATACACACATACATATATATGTATATGGCAAATACTTTTCAGACTTTGTTTCTGTAAGAAGAAAAATGAATAAAGAGACAACAGGAAAAACTACTTTTAGGCGATGTGTTTTGTACTGTGATAAAGTATCTCAGAGGACGAAACTCGTCAGCTAATAGATTTTTCTCTTGTCTTTTTAGTCATCCATTTTTATTGCTTTTTATATTATTCATATAATTTTTATTATTTTTTCTTTCTTCCCCGTTCTTTCCCGTTCTTCTTCTTCTTCTTCTAACGTCTTCTTCTTCTTCACATCCTCCCCTCCTCCGATTCTGTCACACCGTTGCGCGTTTGTTTATTTATTTATTTTTTTTTTAATAATATAGCGTTCATTAGCTATTTAACAAAAATAAGTATTGATAAAGCGATGATGTCAATTGATAAAAATCGCCTGAAGATACCGTGAGGTTGAAACCAATATATATATATATATATATATATATATATATATATATATAATTTAAAAATTAGCAATCGATTTTAATACATATTAGCAATGGTTTTTAATAGCTTTTAGCAATGTTATTTTTTTCCGGGCCACAGCCGTATGTCGCAGAGAAAAACATTCAAATTTACCTTCCTCTCTGCCGTACCACTACAGCCTAGTAGTAAAGATGTCTGATTTATGGCAGATCGATTGAGTGACTTCAAGCAATCGGACATCCAGCCACATTGAAGTGCTGTGATACAGCGAAACACTCTGTGTATGACAATATATATATATATATATATATATATATATATATATAAATGTTTGTATATATATATATATAAATATATATATATATATATATATATATATATATATATATATATATATATATATATATATATATATATATATATAAGCAAATATATGGATATAGATCCGACAGTATGAAGAAAAATATACGGAAAAAAACAAAAAAAATCCTAATATGCAATTATTATATTAACAGTAAAACAGCAAAATTGCATATTAGGATTTTTGTTTGTTTTTTCCGTATATTTTTCTTCATAGATATATATATATATATATATATATATATATATATAATGATTCGGTTTTTACTAAATTTTTCTCGCATTAGTTCTGAATCTAAATACTGTTGAAATGTGCTACATATCGGAGCCCTGTCAACTATTTTGTTAGCCATTATAATCATGGATTTTTGGGGTTTTTTTTACTAAATATTTGGATGCGCACTGCTGATGAGTCCCAATTATAGGACGAAATGGCCGTCCAGTGCTTCCTCTATTTTCCTGTTGAGGTTTCTATCAGATTCAATGAATCAATTAAATATATATATTTATATATGAAGTAATCTAGTGTCAGTATATCCCTAAATACACATTATTTCAAACATATTTTAATTTTTCCTTCCTTCTTTCTTTCTTGCATGCTTGTTTGTTTGTTTATTCTTTCTTTCTTGCTTGCTTGCTTGTTTGTTTATTCTTTCTTTCTTTCTTGCGTGCTTGCTTGTTTGTTTATTCTTTCTTTCTTTCTTTCTTTCTTTCTTTCTTCTTTCTTCATGTATATATGCCCGTGTATCCCTAATTACAAATTTACAAGTTAATAGAAACATGTTCCAATTATTTTTTCTTTCTTTCTTACTTATATTTCTTCTCTTTTTAATTCATCATGCCCTGTCATTCTATGAGGAAATATATTTCTTATTCCCCCAACGGAAGTGGCTAAATTTATGCCACCGAAAATTCGTTAGATCAAAGTCTCACAGGGACTCAAACGAACTATACCCGAACACACTGAAATCAACTCGTAACTCTGGCTTCTTCATTGAAAGTTTTGAAGATGAAATTAATAAATTTTGATCTATCATAACGTGACAGGTCAAGAATTGTAATATTTCAGTACTTAAATAGTTTTCTGTAATTAGAAAAATACTATACGTACCTAATTTCCTTGTTAGCGGACGTTTCTTTACTAGTGACGGGAAGGTTTTTAACTATCATTTTCTTCAAAAGATCATTTCACTGTTAGCCTTTTCGTTAAACCTACGGTTATAGCTTAAAGTAATTTTACATTTTCGAGAATTTTTTCCCAACGGTTCCGGGAATTTAAATTTTTATGATTCATATAAATGTCTCCGAGTTTTAGATATTGCGATTTGGTCTCTCCATCTCCAAGAGTCGAAGAGAAAGAATGGTTTTAATTTCAGATGGCAAAGTCATTTATTTAGCAGCTCAGTTGCTTGGACCGTGTTCTTTTAGTCTTAATCTATTGACATATATAGCTAATTTGCATCTTGGTCTAAATCCTCCTCTTTTTCGGATGAATATTTCTGATATAATGGAATATGCCTACACCTGTGTTGCCCGTCACTGAAATATTAGAGAGGACGAAGAACATTTTCAATAAGTTGGAAAGTAATCGTGAAATAAATTATATATATATATTTAATGATTAAATATCGTTTAATCGTTTACCATCGATTTCATCACGATTTTTCCGGTTAAGCTCGGGCAGTAATTATGCATCCCAACCCCCTGAAGAAGGCTGGAACATACAACGGCCGAAACATTTTAATAAATATGGCGACAAAGATGAGGACAATAGTTCTAATAATGTAAATAGTGTACATAATACCTTATCTCACAAATATAGACAGATTATTTATTTTTGTTGATGAAAGTCGCATCTAATAGTGTTATAAACACCACGGAGAATTCCAGTAAGATACCTTTAATCATTTCTACGATACGTTGGTTCAGAACTTAATCTAAGAATTGGCCAATTTTTTCTGTTACACGTTTTAGAATATTTTGCTGTTACACACGATATATATATATATATATATATATATATATATATATATATATATATATATATGCGTATGTGTGTGTGTGTGTGTGTGTGTGTGTGTGTGTGTGTGTAATTTATTCTTTTATTATGACGATAAACGTTATTGTTAGTGGTTCCACGTATTTCAGTTTCTATACTTATCACTTTTTCAGAAAATAAGTAAAAACAGTTGGCAACTGAAACAAATTTACCAGCAGAAACAGCATTTATAGCAATAAATGTTATATAAATGTGTATATGTCTGTATGTATGTGCGTTTGTGTTTTGCGAATTCCATGTAGATTAATTCTGAGAAAAAAAAAACTTGTTTATATTTTAATAATAGTTAAGAATTGAGCGCCATTTCTTCGAGGTATTTGTTGTAAATCGCCACAATTCGATTTCCTCGGTAATGAGATTAAGCATTTCAATTGCAAATTACTCACCAGAAACATCCTATATAATTATTTGTTTAAGACACAACTCTCCGTTATATTCTCTGGTTATATTATTTATAAAATCATCGTCAAAATCTTTGCATCATTTTATTTATTGCCTAAATCATATTTACGAAAAATAAAAGGTAGATATAATAACGTTTCCTTAAATGTATGAAGGCGATTTGTTTTTATTTTTTTATTTTTTCAAAATGTTAAGTCATATTTTTTTTATTTTTCAGAATGTTAAGTTATTTTTTTTTTTTCATTTCAGAATGTTAATTTATATTATTTTTATTTTTTCAGAATGTTAAGTTATATTATTTCTCGTCAAAACTCTTTGGCTATATTTCAGCGTGGCTTAACCTCGTTTACTACTATACAACAACATATGCCAGTTTGAAACACCCTATTTATTTCCTGGCGAACTGAGTTACTTATATAATACAGAAACTAAGTGATTGCATGCGTTATTGCGTGCTTGTGTAGTGCGTCCGTCCGGCGCATAACAATTGAACTTAATCTGATTTAAGTCAATAAAATTTAAAAATACGAGTTGTTCATACAGTAAGTATTTCTATTTTAACTTTTTTCAGAGATAATTTTTTAATTGAGATATTTTTAATTTAAAGACAGACACAAAGAGATCCCGATTTGCTGTTTCGTCAAGTTGTTTGTCGAATCATTATTTACATTTCAGCTTTCTTTAAACAAAGAAAATGTTAAATATTTTAAAAAAATAGTTTTATGTTAATCTAGTTTTTTAAAATATTCTAAGTGTCTTTTAACTTTCTTCAATTGATTTTTTTTAATTTGAAAACAAGCACAAAGTTATCCCGCTTTACTGTTTCGTCCAGTTGTTTGTAGAAAAAAAAATTCATCTGTCTTTAGACAAACTATATTTTAAATATTTAAAGAATATTTTTATGCATTTGTACAAAAATTAAAAGTAAAATTTCATAACGGGTGTTCGATTCCTATTAAATATTGTAAACAATCAGTAAAACGTTCAACATGGACTTGTCAACCAGACGAATGATGACATGAACGAATGGAAATATTTCACTGAATCATAATAAAATTAATTTTCATTTCAATGGAATGGTGAAATCAACTTCAATGTTTTATAAACTGAACTGTCAGTGACCCCAAGGTTCACGGGTAGTTTAGTTATAATAAAAAAAAATGAAGAAGGATGTACACTTATGTTTCATAGACTATGAAAAATCATTTGATGTCATAAGGTAAAAAAAAATTATTCAAACTGGTAGGAAACGTAATTGAATTAGGAATTACCTGTACGCAGATAGATAGAAAAACTCAATGAGTAAACAAAGAAAAACAGATGGCGGCCTAAGATTTCTTCCCAACGATTTATTTAGGTTTGTAATCGATGCGATTCTCGGATAAGTAGAAGGCCTATCAGGATTTATTATTATTGAACGCAATCTTAAAAACATAAGATATGCAAATGACAGAGTTTGTTTTTAATTAATTTTTTATCCGGTGTTATTTGTTCTTATAAGCGTTATTTTTAGTCTGCTAATCCTATTTGAGGTGTTACGCCCATATATTTTTATTAAACCGTTCTAAATTGAGAGGTCCCACTAAAGAAAAACGCAACCTCCGACAGGAATCGAAACGGCACCCGTTTTCTTACCAATTCTACCAGTTCGGGCATCCTCTGTTAAAACACTTCCCAGATATTTCAACTTCTGTTTTTGCTTGATGGTTATTCTTCTTTTTTCTTTTTCATCCTCTTTTTTTTACTACCGCTAATAATGAGAATAGAAATATGTTTGTACAAGTATTTAGTTTAAAACTAGAGTCATATCTTTAGTATTCGTTCGCTGTGTGATATCATTGATGATGATCGTTATTCCAATGCGTGTTCGGATTTCGGTACCACATTTTCAATCCTCTGTTAAAACACTTCCCATTATGTTTTGTAAACATTTTTTTTTATCCGTCGCTGTTTCTTCTTTTTATAAGCATTATTTTAAGTCTGGTAAACCTATATGAAATGTTTCTCTCATTTTTTTTTTATTAAACCACCCTAAATTGAGAGGTCTTACTAAAGAAAACTCCAGCCTCTATCAGGAATTTAAACAGCACACCCTTTTTTTTACCACTTTTACCATTCGGACACGTAGCCTGACTGACTGGATAAAGTCAGTATAAAATGTTAAAGAAGTTTCGGGTAAAAGGCAACTCATATAAATTCGCAAGAGACTGAAAGAGAAAAACATTACTTCTGTTGACATATCGTTTAAGACTTCCTAACCGAATTATCACTGCCTCCATAGAATTCTAACTATGCTTCTGTAGAAATACATTTCGTTTGCAACCAGTGTTGCCCTCATCCATAAGATGATTGCCTAATATTCACCACCACATAAAAGGATGAATATCCTGTAGCAATCCAACATTACCATCCTTGTTTCTGTAAGCGTTATGGGATTGCAAAGAAATATTTTTCGCAGATTACTTCCACAACGCAAAGTGCAAATCACTGTAAGTTCAGACTCGAATATCGCGGGTAGAAAGAAATGCCGAAAACTCGATTCGCAGGTACTATCTCACAAATTACAATGCACATAACCAGTCAGAAAAATTACTCACTCTCCGACGAACGCGGCAGCGAAAATACACGAATTTTATTCCTCGCCCGAGAAAACCTTTTATAGACCGAGCATTTTTTCCATCCGGCGACAACTGGGAGAGGACGCCCAATTTTAGCATATCAAAATAATTTTATGGCGTCTCCTTCGACTAAATTGTTTCTTATTTAAATATTCCGTCTTCAGCATGTCATGCGAAATACGTGGTCTTTTTTGATAAGTAATTTTCTGTTTCGCCACATTTTCCGTTGTAGGACACACGCGACACGTTGTCGCTTGATTTGACGAGGTAATTCGCCGTTTTCTTCGCTATAGTCTCTGACAATGTTTCTCCCGTTTATCAGCACATTTCTTAGCTTTTGGAATGCATCTTTTATTTAAACATCTGTGCTTATTTGATGATGACATCTCTAATTTGTAACACGCGTCTTGGTTTTTTTTCTCTTGCTGATGATCATTATTGCAGTATCATCTGTGAAACTTAAATAGTTTAATTTGAGCCACTAATAAATCTCACCTTTTTTTACTTGCCTTGCTACTGCTTTTTCATTTTCTGTCTTCTTGCGATTGATAGACCTTTCTTTCTTGATTTCTTCTACTTGGTCCTTCCTTGATATTGGCATTTCCAATTTGTAACTTATATCTTGTGAATTTCCTCTTGTCAATGACCATATTTTTCAGTCTTCTTTCATTTGAT